GTATTTTCAAAATTTTACGTCGTCAAATTTTTTTACTGACTGTTTGGTTAGAGCAAATTTTCGGGCCAAGTTACCTCAGATTTTGCGTATTTTCAAAATTTTGCGTCGCCGTCCTGCTCTAAATTGCCCGCATATTTTTATCTATAGAAATTTTACATCATATTCTGGCCATTTTTTTGGACGACAACTGAAGCCTCGCTTTAGAACATTCAAAACCAAGGCCAGACTGAAGAACATCAAATATCAATGAAGCAATGCATAATCAGAATGATTACACTGAACTGGCAATGTCAAAAGCTGAAAGCAAAGACAGCAACCGTCAAATGGAGAAAACAAAAGGCTGAATGATTTAAAGCAGCACCACTGTAGTCATTTTATACCGAGATTGCTGCGAGCAGTCTTTTTATACTTTTTTGCATATATGCAAATGCAAAAACACATATTGTGGCGATCCATGGTGTATGTATGTGTGTTTGTGTGTATGTGTGTGTGTGTGTTTGTGTGCGTCTGTCCAGCATTTCAACTCGACAACCGTGCAAGCTTCGGTACCAAATTTTGCCGATAGGCTCTCTCGCTAAGTGCCACCCCAGGACCGCGGCACCAACCCTCACGAACGTTTGGGCCTCGCGCACGACCACGTGAAAGCCTTTGAGGGAAAACTCTTAACTCGGGAACCGAAAAAGCTGGGAGGCTGAAATTTTCAGAAAATGTTCACCTTCCATGCAGGAATCAAAGATTTTAAATTCATCTCCAGGACTGCGTGGTTCTCATTTATCAGTCCGTGAAACTTTTTGGAAGAAAATTAACTCGGGAACCAGAAATGCTGGGGGCCGAAATTTTAATGGTTTGTTTCCTGTCCAAGTATCTCGTTGTTATAAAATTGACTTCTCGAACTTCGAGAACCTATATGTCACAATTTCTTGTTACTGGGTTTGCGAGCGATCTCATTATAATACGAAATATTGCAAAAACGTATGATCGCACGGGTACACCTGGTACGCGTCACCAATCATTTTGTATATTTCGTGTTAGTGATGTTGCTGGGAGTTCCTACAAATGTCAAGCTCAGCTGTGATGCCAGACCCTTTGACTGTGCGCTGAAAAACTGTGTTAAGAGTACTTAGACGCCATCTTTTTCGCAGGGTTGCCCGAGTGGTCGTTTATTTTTCTCATGGCTACTGCTGATAGAGGATAAGATTTACTACATCCATGTGATTTTTCTTTCGTAACGAATTTCTGTGCTTTATTTGTATTTCAATTTTCCAATGAAAAAAAATTCATCATTTGAACAGGAATGTTTCGGTCCATTTAGTCGTTGCATGCATCTCTAATCTCGAGTAGCCTCTATCATAAAATGCATAAAACGATTGTTCATCATAATCATTTGTTCATATTTTTATTCATCAAACAGGACATATTTCGTTTAAGACAAACAACTAAAAAAAAGTAACACATATACATTTGGGGAAAATGTATAAAAGAGTTGAGCGAAAAACTACAGAAAGTAATTTTTGTGAAGAAACTGACAGTATTAATGTATCAGCAATTAGTATTATTGTTTTCCTTCATTTCTCCGAAAAATTTCATGCAGTTTTTACCGCAGTGACTTTTGTTCTTCTGAGACACTTCTTTGCCTAACAAACTGGCAGTTTCAAGCGGCCAACAATCCCTACATGCTGCTCGTGGCGCATATTTTGAACGAGCGCAAAAATAAGGTCCAGCTGGTTATTCTACGTCGAAAGCAAAAATTTCTGAAACATCAATGGTTAGCTCGAGATACATTCATGTTTAAGACCAATAAGGTTTTCAAAATGACCCCGTACTAGGGAAGCGCTGGTCACTAGCCCATTTTCTTCCTTCCCTTTCGTCACTTCCTTTCTTTCCTTGTCCATTTCTCCTCAATACTCTATCCTTTCTCATCCACCCAGCACAAGTGTTTTGTCACTTACCAAGAGATTACCTTGACCGCGGACCGCCGATCTTTCCTGTAGGTTACGCTCAGGCCTTTTTCGTTTTCTCGCACCGAGCAATTGGCCATCAGACAGGCTGTTGGTTCACTCTGAAAAAAATCACAATTCACATCCATTAGCACTCCAT